AACGGCTTTAAAAAACCCTTATTTCCTCCACGACCCAAAAATAAATATCCACACACAAACATGGGGCTCAACTCTTCACATTTTCAGCAATCAAGTACGATAGAGAGACATCTATGGTAAATGAGAACAATAAAAAAGTCGTTTCGTGTTAAAACTAACTCGGGGTAAATAGACACTGTTGTTCATTCAAAAACACGGATAATAGGAGGCGTCATTCATGTAGTATCGGCTACTCACATCAAGTATCCTCCCTAACAGTAACAGATGCTTGCAGCAGAGGGAAAAACATTTTTAGATCAAAAAGTTGTGGCTCCTGTACGGCAAGAACATGAGTGGTCCCACATAGCAAAGAGGGCAAAGAATCGAATCCCATTCTGCTCAGCAAGTTTGCTACCAATTTTCTCGCCTGAAGCCAGAGTCCCGAATATGCAAATATGTTGCAGAAACAGGATGGTTTAGTTTTTAAGTGCACGGTGTATGGCGAAGACTAACCTTGATCCAAAGATAGTCACACTTCTAGTTTTTAAACAGCAGGTGAATTGTTCACTTCAGCAGTACAGCTACTGTTGTTACTATGGTGGCCCATCTTCCTTTGAGACCATGATAGCCAGGGTTTTAATGGTTATCTATTACAATTTCTACCTCTAAACACAACCCAAGTGATAGGAAAGAGTCAAACACTGGAGCCAGGCATACAATTTACTACCTATCCACAAATCTTTGCGCTAAAACTAACAATGCCCTGCGCATTCAGTTTCAAATGTGAGGCTCAGAAGGGTAGTAAGGAAGTCCTCAACAGACCAAAGTTTTTGGCCATACATCAAACGCGAAAGTAGCAAGTAATTCGTGATGGCATCAACTGTCAAATGAGTCAGAGCTTGGCGTGCGTGCGATTCAGCACAGCATCGCATCACATAACACAGCGGCGAAAGGAGGCTAGGCCGAGCATAGCAAAACTGGAAGCACGTGTAAAAAGGCGAAAATGTTTACTTAGCCGATTTGTATGAATGCAAAAACGTCTACTGAAAAATAATCTTCCAATGCCTCGTCGCACCAACTGCAAACGCACGAAAAAGGGGGACACGACCCCGCTGACATTTTAAGAGATTACGCAATATGACAGAGAAAATAAAATTCGAGGTTGGCATACAAGGCAAGGGGTAGAAGGCCTTAGACAAAGGTCAAATTAGAGGACCCTAGCACTGCCAAAAAGATTTTTCATCCAAATATAACGAATTTTTAACAGAATACAAAATAACAAAAGTTCTGACCAACTTCCAGTGTGATACAGTTATTCGACAAATTTGAATTTCTTCGGTTTACTCGGGCAGGAAATCAAAAGAAGAAGGTAGACTTATTTCAACAAAGGGTAAATTTGTTTTAGCATCCGGGATAGCAAAACTAATCCATTCAAAGGCGATTAATTAGATTGACGTTCCTAAAGTTCTCGAATACGTTTCATGACTTCGGCCGAATCATGAAGTATCCACCCTAGGGTAAAACCCCATACTCGCATTGGATTTCCTTGAGATTTCTGTAATAGGACAACCGCCTCTCAATCCCCCTGCAAATCAAACTTCACGACGAAGTTGGTAATCTGTCGCTGTTTATCTCAGTCGTCCAAAATGAAATGTAGTTTGTACCGAAAAACTTTCTTATTTCCTCTACATTCGTTACTAACGTGGACTCTTCTTCTATCGCCTAGAGCTCAATAAGCGGCCGATCTACGGTAAACACGCACCCATGAGAGAAGCATTTCAAAGTTACATGAAGTGGAAAGCCAATTTTTATGGAAAAGATGTAGCCGCTTATGGAAGAGAAATTAAAAAATCGTAAATAAGGGTTGATAAGGGTATTCAACTAGGTCAAAAAGTCTCATGGACCCAATTTGATTCTCAAACGTCTATTTAAGGTGGTGTGAGCATTATGACAATTTCAAATTACTAGAAAATGTCTGAAGCACCCGTCGGCAAAGTCTTAAGAATTACTAGTTGGTTAATAACAGTGTGGAAATGAATAGTGAGCTTCTGCGGAAAAGCATAGTGCTCCATCCATAGTGTTGTAAATCGTATGACTATGACTTAGTACACCTTAATTTTTAACCTTTTTTCAAAAGGATTCAAAATCGGATGATGGATCGCGGATGACGGTAGGAACAAATGCAGAGCTTGGTACTTCCAGAAAGAAAGAATAAAATTTGCTTAAGATTTAACTCAAAAAAGAGGTCTATTTCGACTCAAATGAGCAAAACTTTGAAGGAAATATCGAATCGGCGAGAAAAATTAGGCTAATCTATGGATTAAAAGTTGGACGAAAAAATTATGGAGTCGTTACTATCTGCGCAAGGCAACCTAACAAATTCACGTAACTTTCGTAGTCAAAATTAAGTAATTGTAGAGGACTTTCTAAAGTATTCGATTTTGTTGGGAAAAAAGTCTTTCACGACGAGACACAAACTTGCTGCGAAGTTTTCCATGAAGTGCCTTAAAAACGTTGCCCTAGCCACTTCCGTTTCTGCCTGACCCAAGGTGATTACTACTTAGAGAAACATCAAGTGTCTACAGAGGTTGAGGTCCGAGATTTAGCTATGCCTTTGGAAATGAGTTAGGCTGGACTCGCAAAGTGGGTAAGTTTGAATCACAATTACCCGATCCCACCGATATTTGAATAAGCCAGAGAATAAGAGTAGTATGTATCTACGCCTTATAATACCTACATAAAGGCGATGGCAACTTGCAAATTTTCACAAGCTATACCAATTCACTAGATTAAGATGAGTCAAAAGGGGCACGAACTTTTCGGTCACTTGATGACTTCTGAAGGCACGAAAGCACTAAAGGAGGATTTGAGGTTTCAGAAGTTCGAATAGCGATGCACATCTGAAATGTACATGTATTCTAGGCTAGAAATACTAAGTATTTCAAATAACAATTCTACTGGGGTCGGCTTGGATTTTGGTTGATCTACTATCAAAGTTTATACCGGCCAATGGACCCAGTAACATCAGTGAACATTTCCTAAAAATGCATAAATACAATAATGTTGTTGATTTGATGCAGTTTCAAAAGCGATGAAAAGGGGGTGTTTCATCTAAGTAAACGATAAGCAGAAAACTATATGCTCACAAACATTTACCTCATCGGAGATGTCAATGTTTACGGATTGCGATATGCGGGCGGATATTATTGAGCAATAACATGACCTCGTTTGCAAATTTTCTCCCTCATTAGAGAACATGGTAAAATAAGTTCGCCTTTAGGCGGACAAGATTACGTGGGTCCGCTAAGAGGGCCATCAACCGTTTTCAAGTTATACACGAAATTTCGAACTCATTTGCTATGGGAAGCTATGAATGCTTCCATTTATGCTTTCATTCGTTATCTAGTAATGGTGAATCTACCCTTCACCATCAGTAACTACTTGCCCTAAAAATTGTCATCTCCCACACAAAGACAATCAGGATTTAAAATTTGGAATCATCAGCCTAAGAGATGACTCTCTGATAGGAGACTTCAATCTCATATTAGGCGCATGTGTTGTTGGAAGTAATTGTCAACTGTCAGCCCACCAAAGGTTGTGGCGACTCGGCAGTCTCTGTGGTGCAAATTTCCTTGCAGACTTCGAAGCTATCTGCATCCCAAAGCAGTAAATCACTAGGCAGATTGCGATGGGGGTAAAATTGTCAGAAAAAAGTAGTTACATGAGAAAGAACTTGAGAATCCCTAATGTAAATGAAACTCTCAAGATACTGGGATCAGTACGAGCATTGAAACCTTATAAAGAAAGCGACTGTGTTTGTGGTAGTGGTGAATCGGTTGTAAATAAGTTGGAATCAGTGACGCTGATTATGGATGATTAAAATAATACTTAAGGATCCATAAATAGTAAATGAGTAATTTATGTGTGAATGGCTTTGGAAAGCTAATTACAACAGATGACAAAAGCAACGGCGAAGGAATGGATACGATGAAAATTTCTAAAGTCCATAAAACAGAAGCTTTTCCAGAAGATAGAATGTGAGATCCATTGCTAAAGACAGCTGCTTCCAAAGAATTCAGGAATGTTTTTCAAAAAGCCCAAATTGAATAGTATTGATAGACGAGTCGTTTGTAAATGATAGAGTGCAGCAAAAGGACACTTTTAACTGTGTTTCACATTGATATGATGCGAGAAGGCCTATATTTCCGCATAGGCAGTCTACCAGCCCTTCGGATGACTTTTAATAAAGCTGCTTCTAAACACGTGCACCTACCGGAATAACTCTCTTAACTTTGCAAGAATTTAACAGACGGCATCCAATTCGAGTGGCAGAATCTGTGGAAAATCGTTCCACACGTGAGCTACCAAATCGACAAAATAAAATAGGACACAAATTACCTGCAGCACTCTTATGAAAATATGATATCTCCCCGTGCTGCAAGAAACAATGTGACGGCAATAAGGTGAAAAGAAATACAGAAAGTGGCTCATTAGAGTCTAATGAGTGCTTCAAGGTATTAAATTTTAAAGTTTCCTTACGGTAGTGCAAGATTACCACATATGACGGCCGTTTCAGTCTCATGACTAAGTTGTGACGGTCACGGGGAGCGCCGAGGACGAGACCCAAGAGGGGGAGAGAACTACGTGACAGCGCGATACGTCCTAACCTTAGATCTGAGCACGTGGATCTTCCCAATCTCCCACGACTCGACTTTCATTCTAACACCTTGGTAGTCCGAGTAGGTCATTGAGTTCGTTGCTTTTAAAGCTAGCTACAAACTTTCATGTGCCACGAAGTCTTTAAAGATAACTCGGATGCTTCAGAATTTAACCACTGAATTATAGATGGTGGACTAGTTTGCTTAAGGATATTTACGAGATGAGAGCGTTAGAGTGAGTTGGCATAAAGTCCATCGCTGAAATATTTGTCGATTACGCATTATTTTGATTGCGAGCAAGTTGGAGATGAGTGCATAAGAAGTAACAGCAGCAGACAAGTATGATGAGATTGTGATGCCTACCTCGGAGTCCCAAGCGTTGGTGGGTGAGGAACGGAGCTCGAGGGAAGAGTCACCAGGCTTAAGGGGGATCCAGTCAGTCAGCATAATCACCTGTCTGTGCTGCATCTTTCCCGCTTCACCTGGGGTTACGGAGCCTGGGTGACCATTCTGCGTAACCGCCTTCTAAAAAGGAAGCAAGTCTATCCTGTACTTCATCCAAAGAAATTTAGGCAAGGATATCGAAGCCGCATTACATTTAATACAAAACATGGACGTCCTTGAATATCCGAAAGCACTTCATTTAACGGATACTTATCCTTCTGCATATTAAACTTAAGTGTGAAATTAAATGTATTGAAATTAAGGATGCCAAGACAGCTTATATACCTCAAGTAGAAAAATCATTTTTTAATTCTTTGGATTGACTTAAAACAATCACCAACATCCGAGTAGTAGGGGCTATTCGCTCGCCCTTGACTAAACAAATTCCATGACTTACAGCACAACGTGACCAACTTCTGGAAGCAAAGCCTTAAAATCACCTTCCGTACAATGTTTAACAAAATTTTAGTGCAAAAATAGGGTTCATACTGTATTTAAGGAGTATTTACTTTCTTTATAGTATTATGTTCAAACCAAAGTGGCTTCATAATGCATTGAAAAGACTAATAAAGCATTAGAGGGAGCTCTAAATGTAGTATCGTCCCTTCGGAGTTGGATGGATTTGTGGTAATTATACACAAACAGATAAGACTGATTCGCTCATTCTTCATTCAGTCCAAATCCACGCTTCTTACAGCGTTGTGTGCATCAAAAATAGACCTTTAAGGTGATAGTGGCGTTGTAAACAGTAAGTAATCCAATAACTCGTGATCTAATACAGGAAGGTAAACAAAAAACATGAAAATGGCTTGCCACGAACTTAATCTGCACGAAAGCATTCTTTATCATATCAGGCTACACTCGCCATTAGCGTCACGCATAGCCAATACCCCAGTTTTCTTGCTTAAATCCGGCGTCATAAATGTGCGACATGTTTTTTGCCAGTTTGCGATAACTACATTTGTACCAAAGTGCTTGTCGCAAACAGATTGATAGAGTGTAAAAAAACAGCTAGGTATGTGAGGACTTTCTTAGTCGAAGAAAAATAAATGCATCAGTTTTTAGTCACAAAAGTAGTGACACTTGGCACCACATTAGAACAATGAAACGTCGGGAATGAAATCGTTGCTTTTCCTCTGAGGTCTTCAATCCTACAATAGCGCTTTTTCGATTCCGCTTGAGAACTCAAAACCGAGTCGAGGTTTTCAGCATGGTAACATACGAACTACGTATACAGATTCACAATAAATGAAACTAAAATTTAATTTCTTGCTATAGCCACCAAAGGAAAAGCAACCATGGAGTACACTGCAAACATGATTATTGGCCAACCCACTATGGGTATGCAAAAACAAATTAAAACGGACCTTTTATGATGACGCCTTCATGGGAAGGGTACACAGATGAAGCTGAACAAATATGGATATAGGTTACTAGCAGTTATGGAGTGTAATATCCGTAACCGAAGAGGACATTCCACTTACATCTGGGCACAATCAAGACAAAATTTGGCAAGCACTCAGCTACGACTTAAAATGCTCATGGAAGTCGCCTATTTCTTACATGTATTTTTAATGCCTGTGAGAACACAGCGTTGAGTCAAAACTGCCAGTGATAATTGACAGAAACATGGCCCTGAAGTATGTGATTAATCACAAAATGTGAGCCCCCAATTCTACTAACCTGTAATTCATACTACGTGAGAAATAATGATGGCGCTTGAAAATTTGATTTAAATTCCTGTCTTGATCGGGTCTGGTTGGCACTTGGCAACTATCATTCCAACTGGGATCGGAAGTAAGCCTACTCTGTGATTCAAAACGAAGTTAAAACAATTCGCAGACAATGAAGGTTTTACTAATGTCTTCTGCCAGCGTCATACGTAACACACCGACTTTCCTAACCAATTTCGACGCCACAAACATGACATGCATTCCTTATCCATTTATGACAGCTGCTTGTAATAAATCAACTTGCAAACACAATTTAAAACAATTTAAAGTAGATGGAGACGATTTTTCTGAAGATAGCCACATCTGCTTTTAATCGTTGAACAGGGGATGAACCGGCCACTTTGGCAGTGCAAATATTTGTGAAATATTGACAGTGATAAAACATCTCAGCTGGTCGAGTTCCCTATAAAACCTTGATAGCGATCGTTAAATAGAAAGTTGCAAGATACACGCTCATTCAACAAATTAACACACCACGTTTCGTAGGTAAGGGGAGGGGGGTTAAAGTTAGAAAAAAACTCATTTTTCGATGCAAACTGGATGCGGTGTAGTGGAGTTGCCTTAGAATAAACAATCCATGTTTGTCAGCAGCTTTATATCATAAAAACCCAATGCCAATTTCAGATTGCCTTAGCTTCAATTCGGCAGCACGCAGCAAGGAAGATTTAGTAATTTTTAGCATCTGTACAGCAAGGAATGTACCGGAATAGCAAAAGTTTCCCTTTGCTATCACTGATGAATTAACCAGAGAGAACAATTTCTAACCCTAATACCTTTTAAAATGCCATTAAAAGCGAAACAAATTTAGTCATAAACAAACAAGTGCTCAGGCTTTCGGAAGAGCTTTCTCTTATGATAGTTTGCTACTGCTCAGGGGATGGCAAAAATGTGGAAACGATAAAGTAGCCATATTTGCAGCAGTGGAGGTCAATATTTATGTTTACGTAAGGGCAAAATGACCAGTCTACATTCCGAGTGAATGGGCATAACTTTCACTGCGATTATATGGCAAATTTATAGTCCTTTTACCTACCAATAGGAGTGACTCAATTTATTTGGAACATAACGCATACAAGTCAACGAGGAGTTACCTAATTAAATACAAGTCAATTGCTGATGTACCCACATAACTGTGAATTTATGAATGCATGTAAATCACAAGAACAAACCGTTTTCTCAGAATCGGAGACCATCTCTAGCTCCCTCATACGAGCCACTAAGAGGCGCAGACAGATAACGAGATCGTCCTTTTTCTCCGACTTGCTACGGCACAACTCGTGCAACGTATTGCGACCAGCCTGTGAAGCAGGAAATACAGTGTGTTCGTAATAAAACATAACAACACATTAGGTACCCAGGATCCTTGTAAATGCAAGCCCGAGATGGAACCATGAGACGAGAACTAATCGCAATCAACTGTGCATGAACACATTACACACATCGATCTGAGTGCTAGAATAAAAGATAGACTTATAAAAGTGCAGAACCACTTTTTCAGCCTACGAATAAACTAATCGAATAACACATTATCTGCCCCACAGGCATGGAAGGCAATAAATTGCTACCGCCAATTTTTTCAGCGGACGCAAATTAAAGGTGTGTGGGTAATAATCGCGGAAGTAGGGTGAATACGTGAAATATGCATAAGCATGTTTTCAATTTTTTTAGAACGAAGAATTTTCACCACAATTATAAATGTTTAATCATAATGCACTTTTGAAGATAACACATACAGATACATCTTAAACTCGATATGCGAAATTGAAAGTCTACCTAATAACACTTATAACGTGAGTGAATGATGCGATGCAATAAATAATGTAATCGCAATAATAGTGAACTAATATGACGATTTGCAGCGAGGTACATATGAACAGTCCCTAAATATTGTCGATGAAAGGGTCCTAATAATCAACGAAGCCATGGATCCATGACGGAAAGTACTCCTATATGCATCCTTAAAAAATCAAACAAATTGAGATGCAAGCCATCTGAATCGTAGGGACATACTTTATTCTTCCAAAAGGGGTCAGCTCCCCTTTCAAGAAGAAGTTTTATTACTTCGGGTTGATTCCAGTAGGCTGCATTTGTAAGCGGTGTCCAAAACTGATTGTTAGACACATTAACAGACGCACCGGCTTCCAGAAGTACCTTGACACATTCAACATGCCCGGACATAGCTGCGTGGTGAAGAGGAGTGTTGCCGTTCTATAAAATATATTGTCATTAGTTACCAAAGTGCACACTATATCTCTGGCATCCACAACGCATTGTGCCTGTATTAGTAAGCGGACTATGCCTGGTTTTCCCTGAGAAGCTGCATGAATTGGACAACAGTCATGCTGGAATAAAGGGCGAACTGATTAATATGGAAGACATACGATACTAGATTTCCAATTAACATCGATGCCTTCGGCGATCATTTCCTTAACTAGCCACTCCCTTCCATAACTGCAAGCATCGAAGAACTTTTCTTGGCGAGATTGATCCTGACCCATCACAAAGATCACCGATTAACAAAAGCCAATGCGACCGAACCGACCGCGCCTAGTTAGTGTACTGATTTGGCCCGTCAAGGTCAAGGTTTCATTTACTACTGCTTGGCAAATTTGGGGTGCTATTATTAAAATTTGTTACGACTAGTACAAAATGCCTAATTTATTTATTAATTTATTATTTATTTTTTATTAAAAATTTAAATACTACATTTGTTGCCTCAAAAATTATTTTCTGAAACTCGCACACGGAACTAATACTAATTATTTAAACTTTAAAAGAACAAATTCTTCCTATGCATTTACAGAGCAATACATACACACCATAGAGTTGTGGAAAGACTTGGGTATTTTTTAAGAACAATTCGTAAAATCTCAAATTAAGAACAAGTGTAGGGGTTCCATTCATTCCTGAAGACGTAAAAAATCATCATTGTGGCAGAAGAGCTGAGGATTCTGACATGATTAAAAGGCATGTCACTAAAACGCAGCACAATCTGTGGAGACTTACATGCCTACATAATCAAATGCAGAGCAAAACGATCAAAGCATTTCATGGTCTCTTTCTTCTATTGAGTGTCGTCCCCGGGTGTTCTCCATGGTCAATCTACCGCGTCCTCCATCACAACAGAGTTGGTGCTGTAGAAAAATTGTCCAAAAGTCAGCCTTGCCAGTCATTCAACTTGCTTGAGACTACGATTATGCTTAATTCCAATGCCCTGGTAATTTCGTTGGGTCTAGAGTTTTTGTTTATAAACCGTATCTGAGATACAAAAGCGCGTTTCTATACAATGAGGCTCTCGCGTATGCCATCAGAAGGGCAGTGGTCTAGAAGCAGAATCATATGATGAAAGATGGGATTTAAAATGACTTCATGGGTTGGGTTTCCACGTCTTTGACTCCTTATCTCTTCGTTCTCCCTTCAGTTTTGTCAAACCATACATATAACTAACCAGGGTTCTGTTTGACTGACGGAGAGGTAGTGAAGCTATCGCACGTTCACTTGATTGACATCTTCATGTAGGTACCGTAGGCAGTTCTATAGTAGACTTTTTCGCGTGGTTCACCTCTACGGCTATTGTCACTTTATTTGCAATAGCACTTCCTCATAACACAGGTAAGTTCTGCAGTTTAAGCCATGTCCTGATTTTTTTTTGATTTCGAATGTTCTTCCAGACAGATTATTAGACTTCGCTAGTCTTGAAAAGGAGTCGAGTAAGAGTAGGCATCGTGCCTAGTTGTTGGTTGTTCCGTATCGAATTGATACACCTACGTGGTGGTTTTGTTCAGCCTTCATCAGGTAAGCAGATCTTTGTGAATAATTTCGTCTGCAATGCACCGCGCGCAAAGCGAGGGGTCCTGGGTTAGGGTAATTTTGCGTTCATTGGAAGTATAGGCTGCGGTTTAAGGTTGCTGTCAATATATTCATTTGGTTAACAGACGTCGGAGTACGAAGTTAATACTCATTTAAATTCAGCCAGTTATCAAGCAATATAAAACTGCTTTTTCCTGTCCCACATGAATAAAATAAAATTACAACTGCAATTTATTTATGTTTGTCATCATCAGGACACATTAGCGTAGCTTCAACGGCTTTCTCTTCCCCAGAGAGTTAAGTGTAGGCGCGACATTTTATCATTTCTTACATTAAAAGCTTGACTTATTTTATTAGTAACTCCACGTAATTCCTTACTAATATAAAGGATAGACTATTCTTCCGAGGTTTATGCGTCTATCCTTGGAGGAATCTATCACTGAAATCAAACGCATTGAACCAGTTCTGCGAGGTGCTTCTGCTTATGCAACTTCGAAGCCAACCTTGGGTTCGTAAAGCAGCGAACCTTCAGTCATGCCCCTCCTATTCGATCGACATTTGCAATTTGAGGGGCCAAAATAATGAATGGCACTTTGCAAGTTCCTCTAAGTGGTGACGACTCTTTGTGGAGAGCTGTATTGAAGCCGAAACATTCAACAGTAAATGTACCTGAGTTGTCGCCTGCAGTCAACTTGCGCTGTAAGTCTACTTGAGTGGACTGCTTTCAGGCTTTTGCTCTATATCCTTGGCACACACTCATGTACCCCAGAAATGAAATTTTTCTGTTTGGACACGCCTTATTTTTGCCTCCAGAGAAGATTTTTTTGAATCTCAGAGTACTGTTAGGCTTAATGTTAGGGTCTTGGCAGTAGACTTCTAAAATTTCTAGACTTGACAAGTATCAATAGTTAAATAAGGGGAATATGGATGGGGTCTGCGGTTATCCTGGACTAGCCACCCATCATTTACTATCGGTGGTTTATACCGCTAATTTGAATGTCATTTATCAGTTGCTTTAATGGCCACAAATTATATGACCTATGAGTAGGTCAATCAGAATCAGAATAATCTAAATTAACATTTTAAATATTAGCTTAGATAATTATGAATTCTTATTTACAATAGAGAGGCTCGCAATAACACTTACCTTTTAGCTGTGGAAACGTGTTGTCATACACGTGAACATCCTCGAGCACTATCAATTTATGGTGGCAGGCATCATCAAGACTATTAGTATAAGATACCCAGCACTTAGCAGGTAGAATTTTCCGAGAAGTGGAATGAATAGGCAATTTCACAGGAGATTGGGGTCTGCATGTTGAGGCTTAACCGCTTTCAACTTCGATTTATGAGGAATTAAACTGTATGACTTACAAAGCATGGGACGTTTTATTTGGATCGGATATGCCTAGCGCGCTTTGAGACTGCCCTGAAAAAGAAAGCAGACAAGACACACGGGCAGAATATATATTGCCAACGTAAGGAAAGACTGGTGACTACTAGGACGGCTTAGAGGCTATGCCGCTCAGCGGAAGTAAAAAGGCGAAACCTTACGTGTCCTGGAAACCGAAATGAAAAGTTAAACAAGCATTAAAAGCAATGCATAGCCCATCTTTCCATTTAAGCGTCGGCCTCGGAGCTCCCTTTAGTCAACGACTCCCGTTAGCCATCACATCAAAGTCGGTGGTGCACGAAAAGCAACCACGAGCCAATCGCGCCAGACGTCGAATGTCCATGCAACCGAAATGATACTTGACCTTTATGTCACAGATGACTCATGGTATTTCTACTTAATCCGAAGTTACGTCCTGTTTAGAATCGTATGGGGGGAAGGTGAATGTGCAGGCCATCGCATATTCCCATCGCTGGTGGTAAGGCCACTGGCCTACACGCAGTCATTTAATAAGGGTTGGGGTTTAAAATAGCTTCGTGGGAAGGAGATTTCGGGTCTGTTCCTCTTTGTCACTTTGATCTCAATTTAGTTCTGTTCTCTTCAGCTGGTAGAGAGGGGGAGGAGGTATGGCGTGTTCACTTTACTGTCATCTTCATATAGGTGTTGGGGCCAGCTCCGTAATGAGCTTTTCCAGAACGTCCACGGCCACAGTTGGCGTGGCCTCAGTCGCTGATAGCGTTCCTGCAGACCACGGGCCTGGGGTAGGTGTCGATAGCATATGACTGTTTCAGCCTTTTTGCTAGACTTCGTCTGCAGTATGTAACCCTCCTCTGTCAAATTAGGGCGAAAAATCCAGTCATGGGAATCAAGATACCTGTCCTTCTGCTGCCACCAATGCAACCCCCCAATACTTCCCTGTAGGCAAAGTTAGGCCTATTACCTAAATAGAATATGCATTGCCATTCTAGAGGAGGGCTGGTGAGCAAATGACTTGGTCTGGAAGTGCATTCGCGGAGCGTCAAGTGCCCTCGAAACCAAAAGAGACGAGTTAAACAAGCAAAGTATTACACACTTCTTGGTAATAAATCCAACAAGATTTACACATCTCTCCTTCAATTTTGTAAGAAATCAGTATAAATATACTTCATAGCATAAAATCCCACAATCAATGCCTTAGCAACTTCACACATACTGGTCCATGAAAGCATCCACATTCACACCAAAATCTATTCAACGAAGACAAGCGTTTGGTCAGGCTGAATGTCCCCCCCACCCTCTCTGTAATGCGTCATTCGGGTCGCATCGATCGTTGCCTGCGTTACGACGTCTGGATTCAAATTAAAACCATCGATTTCTTATTACAACATTTAATTAGTTAGATGACTAGCCTAGGCAGACTTGGTAATCATTGTTAGCCATAGCGACGCGAGAACAAGTTGCCGGTGATATGTAAGTGAGTGTGCAATGTCAAGTGGCATTTATTCCTACACACTTGACCGTTGTTTGAGTCATTTGGTCAATAGTTCCTTCAATGTGGATGTGGAGCTATCTCTTCATACTTCAAGAAATTTACTCACTCTATAGTCATAAATCATATGCTTAGAATTCCAAATTTTGCTACTGTGCTTGGAAGCAGGTGTCGATTCCAATCCCATTGAGTCCACTTCCCTCCTTAGGTTCTTACACGCAAGGTAATTTAGACACAATACGCATCACCTAATGCAAGTTTTTCCTTTTTACTAGGATATAATTGTCTGTGATGATAGCACTACAAAAGCTTTCTAGCAGGTGCTTTAAGTGGATGTTCATCTCCTTCCACCCTCATTCAGATGGCTCAACAGCCCTCGCAACCGCAGTCGCAGTCACAGACGTCTAGAATGGCAACGGCAACGGCGGCGGCAAGTAATGGCCTGACAACAGCAGTCAACGTGCCTGCGGCCGTGGTGGTGCCTGCTCAAAACTCCGCACTGGCCACAACGACGGTTGGGGGTGCTGCAGCTATGCTGACCCGAATGAACAATAACACCACCAATTTTGGTCAATACTACCTCCGTTTCCTACGACATCATTCCACTCGTGCGAGTCCTGTTACGGTAGGTCATTTTTGCTTGAGTTTCGGGAACCTTTTAGTTGCTGATTTTCGGTGAGATAGCTTTAAATACAAAATATTCGTTCATCTAGCAACGCTAGGTATAATTAAAAAGTATTTTGAAGGATGTTCAAACTGACCTACGCCTCCTTTTCAAAGGTGCAATGGCTCCTACAGAATTATGAGACAGCAGAGGGGGTAAGCCTACCACGGAGTGCCCTCTACTCGCACTATCTCAATCACTGTCTAGACTACTGGTTGGAGCCAATGAATCCTGCCTCGTTCGGCAAACTCATTCGTTCCGTCTTTGTCGGCCTTCGAACGCGTCGGCTAGGCACGCGGCAAGTCCCAGTTGTTCCATGTTTAAACGGTGAGAATTAGTGAAATTTAGGCCTAACCTCATTGCGGTGTTTTTCAGAGGAAATTCAAAATATCACTACTATGGTATACGGATAAAGCAGAACTCTAGTCTCAACACAATGAAAACAAACAGACCTTCAGGATGGTATGTAATGAAAGCAGTCTAGCTTTGGGATACTTAAAAACAGATATAGCTCGGTATACCTTCAGATCCTATTTTTTTGCATTCATTTAAACGTATTGGTTTGCAAAATACTTCATTTATGTTGGGTTAAAAAAATCTCATTTAAAAAACCACATAATTTGCTTTTCGGACTAAAAATAGGCAGGCGTACATGATTTAAGCATTGTTTCCTTTCAGAGCAGAATTTTAATGATGCTTGATTATTTGTTGTTTAAATCTTTGCATTAAACCCCATAGGCTTCAAAAGTACCCGGACTACTCATCTGGTTCAGTGGGAGGAAAGTCAGAGCCAGCCTCAGCAGCCTCTAATGTCTACACGTGCTACTCCAAGTTTCGTTCAATTCGAGCCAACACTACAGTTGGGTCAACAGCTGTGCCAGCAGTGCCCGTTGGATTTTCCAGACCGATGGAGACCACCTCGACTAGTTTTATCAAATCGGAGATGCCTGGACCAAGTTCCCCAGCGAGTGTCTATCGAACGTTGACAGCGCGCCCAACATCCGCCAGTCTCCCCACGATGGTGAAACCAAAGCTGACTGGCGTGTTCTACAAGGACGATACCTCGAGTAGTAGTTTTAGTGAATTGCCATTTATTTCAGTCTTTTTTGTCAAATAGCGAGTCTTGTTAAGCAGTAGTAAGCGAAGTCGCTGCACACTAATCGCTTGAAACGGTCAAGAGAGACCAGTAGTAGAAAAGATTACTGAGGTCTATTCAACACTGAGTTTGGTCGTAGCGGTAATGGCTAGGATCCCCGTTTGACGTGAATAGTGGCGAGTTGACATAATTTAATTGAAATCGTAGAATTTTAAATTATATTTTGGAAAATTTGGGCCTGAAGTTTTCGCCTGGCTAGTAAATCGTGTTACATGAGTTCGTTTCGAAGTGATCTTCGTGTTACTTAATAAGTGGAAACATCTCAATGAATGCTAATTTTTACACGTCGTTTGTCTATGAGAGGAAGGGACAGAGGAGGTTATTGTGTGTAATCAAGAAGCTTAGTGATTACGATGTTGGCATTGCTGAAGTTGTCTAAACATAGAAATTGATGCTTTAAGTTGACACGCTAGCTTTGATTTGTTCGAATCACTGGTATGAAGGAACATGTACCTTAAAATATTTTAACCTAGGGAGGAGTTTATTATTAGTAGTAATCATAAAATTGCTCTTAAAACTAAGAATGACTGTAGAATTCCAAACTAAACACCTATTTTTTGCTTCAAAATGGATTAGGGTGGACGAACTTTGAATACTTTCCATTGCATGATTAGTAATTTACCTTAGAAATGGATTATTACTTCACACAATCTAAATTCCGACAATAACTTATGATTAATAAAATTTTACTCTTTACTGAGTCGACTCTTAAAGATGTGCATAGTCACAGAAACGTTTTTACCTCAAAGTTTAGGGAATTTATGTTTCTAGAAAATTCTCAAATGCCCGCTTTTGCGTCGAATTCCCCCATTTTGAGGAATTTGTACCGCGCGCTACTGCTTGCTTTCCGGTTGGCAAATATTCTGTAAGGATGAGTTTTTGTGCCAAAATACTCTATTTGTCCTCGAAGCCACTTCAAAGTGCACACCTATGCGGGATTATGAAAACTCTGGTCTCTGATCCGGAGCCTATTTTATATCGTTCGCGTTGGGGTTGCAGTTAGCCCAGAGACCGGTCAATTCCCCAAGGGCCACTAGTCAGCACTAACTGGTATTGGCAAGCAGAGTAGTTGTAATTACCATAATTTCTTTGCTAGAGAGAAAGAAACACCAGTAAGTCTCATTCGACCTCGAAAATCTCTGTAGTCTAGTTGCTCCCTTCACAAGATCCCTGGAGGGGGAATTGCTTGGTCTTAAAAATTGGATCAGCGGAAGTAGACGCATGGTTGCACTCATAATTTCTTCGATTCTATCCTCCAGCCACAAAGCCAGAGGCCTCGGAGACGAGCGCTTCACTGTGGAGGCCGTGGGAGACGAGCAGTAGTGGTGGAGTGGGCGCGCAGAGGACCGTTTCACCCTGTCTCTATGACTGGCAGGGTAACGATAAACTCTCGACTGATCCAGACCTCTCTACCGGTGGAATGGAGAGTGGGTAGGTTCCTCTAGGACACTGTTGGAGGCCCTTCTTTGTGTCTTACTGTTCATTATCTTGAATGTATGTCATTCGTTGTAACGAAGATGCACCTTGGTGGCCTTATGACTTAAAATCTTGTAAAAATACTTTTGGTGATGCAATAATTACTTAATTATTTAAGACAAATGAGGCAGCAATTTAACCATGCAATGACTAATGGCGCTACACAAATCAGGCTACTTCATACCCTTTCCTTCAGTCCACTAACCTGTCTGACCGATCAGGGCGGCGAAAACGAAGATCGACTTTATTTTGGCTCTGGCAGCGATCAAAATTTTTCCTTTCCACGTCTCACTGACCTCTGCCAATTGGTGGGGATTGATTTGAGCCCTACATCTAGTGAGTTGCCACCACTCGTCATTTATCGCTTTCTTACACTTTATTCACTCTCGGTGTTATCTACTGGTGTGAAAATTTTAAATGGAACAGTTAAACATAGGAATGATTTATAAGTCAGTAGATGGGATTAATCCCTGACTAAACATACATTCACTTAAGCGTTTTTCTATTAAATTTTTTAAGTTCAATATTCTTTCTTGACACCAGCAGCGGATTCTGCCGTAAAGATGGTGAATATTCTCTTGAGTATAACAGCGTCCTTTTATATCAGCAATGCAAAAGCAATAACAATGGCTTGATGAGCAAATGAAGACAATGTTTGGGAGCCAATATATATCCGATCTCCCACTGAAGCATGTTTCACCTATAGAATAATTGTTAAGGGCGTAAAAGTTGGTGGATATCAAAGTAAGAAGGGCGCAGTTTGGAGAAAGTGAGGCCACGATAATTATGGCAGTCTACTTTTGATCTGAAATCGTCACAATGAGGTCATGGGGATTTTACGTTTCCTTCCAGCTTCCTTCCCCATGGATCTCTCAGTTGAGTCCTCAAACAGCGACTCAAACCGCATTGGTAAGGAGATAACAGAACGAGAAGCAATCTTACAATTCGTCAAACTCTACGAGCAGCACTGCGCCGAGGTCTATGAGGCCATTATCACACCACAGTTGGAGAAATTGCGCAACGTTTGGCAGAGATTCTGGAGTCCCAGTGACACCCTGTCTCGTGATCTAGTAAGTACCCATCCCCTTCCATCTACACGTTTTAAGCTTTTTTCATTTTTGCTCAACATCAAGTTGTGAGTTTACAGGGTCAAAGGGAGACTATCGGAAGCAATGGTGGTTGTGGTTGTGAGACTCGACTCAACAAAATGCAGCTTGCTCTCATCAATAGCAGGAAGTGCCTCTGTCAGTTTGTGGAGGTCGCGGATAGGGCGTTGTATCAGACTCTGTTGGAGATTATTATTGGAGATAGCCTCAAATCTATGCCACCGTCTCTGCTCCATACCGTGAGAGTAATGGTTAAACGAGTCCAGGTAAGTGACAGCTTTCAATACTGCAGTTGAACTAGGTTTTATATCAGTCTAAGGCACCGAACTCACTAGCAGGACAATGCTTGTATAGAGGATGTCGCCAGTCATGATTTTCATTGATACATCAAGCCACCTAGAATGCTTACTTATTTCCATGCTGCATAGTATTGTCGACCGCATTTTCGAAATTATTATAGTCATTGTTTCTCACTTCTTACAACTGTTACCGTACTCAATTTAAACTAGTCTGTAACAGACCTTGTTTCATTTCTTCATCACTAATACCATTATTATAACACAAATAGGACGTTCCCTACTAGAACTATAAAACTAAATAAACTCAAATTTGTTGTTGCTTTAAATAATCTCTCGCCGAAACCAACCCATCTACATTAAAGACTTTGTATCCACTCAGCATTGTCTGCGATCAGCAATTCGTCATCTGAGTCCGACACTGATCAACTGCAAACTAACCGCTATTAGCGGTTTCATTAAAGGGCTGCGTCGCGTCATCGGTCTGGCTCACCTCAGCCGAGCAGTGGCGCATGTCCTGAACACACCCGAGCGTCTTGAGCAGATGCGCGCGGACATCTGCAAGCTCGATCTAGAGAGCATTGAGGTGAGTTGTTTCTTCATGCCTTACTCAAACACTAACATCCATGTAATCAAGGCTAGAAGTAGGTTTATTACAGGCTCAGAAAAGAGCTTAGGTGGTTGCCCACTGGCATTCAGTTTCACAGCGCTCCTCCCCTTCTTTTGAACGTCATTGAGGTGGTCTTGATTCCGTTTCGATCAGTATGAGTTAGTCAAAAAGATTTACCTGCTACCATTCTGAGAATACCTTCAAATTTAGTCATGGTGATGCATTTTACAAGTTTTTGCAGATTCATTTGCCACGTTTTGAAGAGATTGTAAGCTACATGCCATCCTGAAGAATTCGGGATTGTGATATCTGTCACAACTACTCCCTGTTCCTGTTGCCTTGCTTCTGAGGGTCTTAAAGGACTTTGTAATGCACAGCAGATATCATCCTTGCATAACGAATTTGTGCACTATCTAGTCAGTGAAATCAAGGCTGCTGTTTGTCTAAAGCAGGTATTCCTATCAAGACTTCCAATTTAAAGTTCAATTTCTTCTTAGTCCTCTAAAGTATGCAAGCCTACAAATGGCTTTATTATTATCGCTAGTTGTGTAGTTTGAAGATTTTGCAAAAACCGCCTGGTACAAAGTGAAATGAATTGGCGATATTCCACTACCAAAGAAATTCGAATGCGTGAGCATAAAGAAACTAGCAAGAGCAGAGTTTCATCCCCGCACAGTCAAATGGATAAAAAGTAAATTAATGATCCTCATATTACATTAAAGGCGCAGGGCTCATGGGCTAGTGATTGTTTACCCTCGTGGACTCTCTTCACCGAACACAGCCTACTCGCCAATTTCGCAGTTCCAAGCATTGACGCCGCCTCCACGTTCTGCCGTGATGACTACGTCGCCTCTTTTTCCCACCTGCGCTACCGCAAGTCCTCCTCTCCCGGGGCTGTCGGTGCTGCCGCCACCTGCGTTGGTGGGGCGATGCAATCAGAGGGCGTCTTTGAAACTGCTGGATGCCCCTTCACAATGGTGCAGCTGCACGCAGAGCTGCAACATCTACTGGCAGCAAACGCTCCGCTTACCTGCTGGGTGGCCTGGCTCGATCGTGTGGTGCTGCGTGGACTGGCTGGGCGGGTGTCGGGGCCGAAACGGGCCAATGCAGCAAGACAGTTGATGCTGGTGTGGAACTACTATAGGTGAGTGGTTGTCCTTCCACGCAGTGCTTTGTGAAGATGATGAACTTTGTAGTAAAATAACCCTATTTATACATCGTCTAAGCTATGGCTGTCAAATTATTACGTTTTGAATAACTCATCCTGCTGCACGAAACTTATGTATAGAATAATAACAAGATAACTGGTTACTATCATCTGTAATACTGTCTGGTTCAGCGGCAGCGGTTTCGTCTCATTTATACTCATGACAAGGGCAAACAAGAACCGCAAGGTACGCCAATCAAGTACGAAACAGCATTCATTTGATGTCTGGGCTTCGATTTGGACGGGCATTACAAGCCTAAAAATTACAGAGAGGTGAACAACCGATCCTACAGAGAAGCAATGGTAACACCAACACCATTTTGGCGACCAAATGCGGGAAAAATGCATCCCTCTGAAGCAACAATTAATTAAGCAAGAGTAAATTGAGAAGGCGATGCAAAAAAAGCCCAGACAGCATAAAAAGGCAATCGTTATTTTTATTAATTTACAGCTCCCTACTGATACGAGAATTGACGCTTCGCTCAGCCCTCAGTTTCGGCAGTTGTTACCTCCTGCGAATGCTCTGCGACGAGTACCTCAGTTTCCGGCTGGAGCAGGTTGCCGCATCGCCTTTGCTGACGATCTTTTCACGGTGGAACACCTCGGCGCCGCATGCGCCAGAGGGGTGCGTCTGTTTTGACGCTGCTCCTGCCAATACCTCCACTTCCACAATGACCGCAACGGCAGTGACGACACCAACGACGGTGATGGTGGTCAATGAAGGAGATGCTGCCGCAACCCTCCTCACTACCTTTAACAGCATGGATGAGGAACGTGAGCCCATGGCCGACATAAGCGCTAACGGGGGCAGGGATACGGATAACGCATCTCCATGGGAGCAGTCTGTGTCGAATACCTTTGTAAGCATAACAATGAAAGGAGAAGAGCCGGAATTCACGACTACACCTTAAAGCGATTGAGGGATATTTGAATTAATATGTGTTCATAAAGGCATTATTTTAGTGAGTTCTTCTAGATTGGAAATGTGATTCCACTTTTAATTTTGGCTGTTATGACGAGAGTCAGGCATTATTCTCAAAACCCCTCTTAAACTATTGCGGGGAAGGTATAAAATGGGATTCCGGGGGGGGGGGGAGGGGGAGTTTGAGAAATACCTTCACTACAGTAAGCCTACTTTCTTTTGTCCTTTAGTATAGTTGTTTCGACGGCACCCAGACAGTAGCGGATTCCCTGATGCTCGCACCCTCCACCGGTCTGGGAGCTGAACTTTGGTCGACGGTTCCTTTCGGTGGTGGTGATATGCTTCCGCCTTCGGCATTCTCCGCCATTACTGGTCCACCATTTGCCGAAGAGTTGATAGCTGCCACCAACACCTCAATTACAGCTGCCACTACGCCCACGTCTCCGCCACCGCCTTCTGTCTCACCGCAAATGAGCATGGTTCCGGTCTTTCCTGACCAATTCCTCTCCGCTTCGCCGCCGCCGCCACAGCTGGTGCAGCACTCCACAAAGGGGACGGAGGTAGGAAGCAGGAAGGCGCCTTCAATGAGATCTGGCTGCGAAAAGGATTCGGGAGATTCCGGTGTGATAGCAGCTGGAACCGCTCTGAAGGTAGACCTCAAACGACTATTTGTTTACCGTACTTAATTCAAGAAGACTATCGCAAATGCGGTTACGCTAGAAACGAATTTTTCAGTGAAAATTTGTGTAAGTGTAAATTATTCAGGGGAATTCCGTGGGTATAACCCCTACATTATCTATGTTTCAAGTTAGAATAACGTATATCTCGGTAACCAGTGTTGGCAGTAAATAATTCATCTTCCTAGATAAACCGCAAATCCGTTCGTGTCACCATTGGCAAAGAGGAGCCGCCTGATTAAATAAACTTTCCCCATGGATGCTTTTTTGATTTTATTATTTGCTGTTAGCTTTGAATATGTACTGAATAAAGTTGCAATTTTGAGGACTCGATTCTGTTTTACTAAAGTTATGTGTACAAGGATAAACGAGCAAACACACAAAAAGAGGGGCTTTGTTATTTAATAGGTCGGTTGGCAGTAGTGGCGACTGTTTAACTACGTGAGCTCTTCACTCTATGTGAGGTGTACTTCGCCCCCGTGCTATGGCCTTTGAGCCGGGCTAGTGCCCTAAAACATTTCTATCGTATCAATGTGTGTTCTTCCCCATCATTTCGATGCGCTGCAACTCAAGCGAAGACTTGGGTCGCAACGTCGGCGGAGGCGGTGAAGGGATTGTACAAAATAATCTAAGTGGTGTACGGAGAACCAGAGTCCACCTACTCGGGGATGGATCATGCACCCTTGGTCACGGGGTAAAAGCGATTTCTCCAATTAATACCCAAAAGATGTATTCAAACAAATGGGCATTAAAGGAATAGAAAGCAGGTGATTGTGGGATAACTAATCAGGATAATGGAAGTGAGTGAGAAGACGATAAAATTTCATCATACCTTTACAATTAAGAGGCCAAGAGTCACTGTGCCTTAAGTCATAAAACTAACATTGAAAACCGCAAGGTATAAGAAATGTAGGAAAAATGGATTATGGATAATTAAGAACTAGATGCAAAGTTGAATTTACTATTTGTTTACAGTGAAAACTCCTGACCTTTAGGCTAGCTACAAAGTCGCTGCTTGGAATTCTGAACTTACTGCTTATAATCAAGCAAATTTTTACTTTAACAGGGGTTTTGAGGTCAAATTTGTTTAGCCTAATTGTTAGGCTCAACAAGTTTTCGCATAAAAACATTAGCCAATAGTTTTGCAGATTGGGTGTGCATTGCGTTACCGAACTCACCATTTCCGCGTAATGCGTGGTTCATCTGGGAGAAACCCACTTATCTTTCTGATTCATTACTTAATCTACACGGCTATTGCTTACGTCACGTTTGTACTCTTTGGTGCACCCGTCCTTTCGTAGGTGTCCTTTTTTGCATTTCCCTCATAGTGAACAATTGGAAACACTGTCTTTGTCCCTGTTGTTTGCTTTCCTCTCAGGGGCTCCTTATTTATTTAATTTTTTGCCGACAACTGAAAGGATTGGCACCGTTTTGTGGACTCCCAGGTAAGCGGGCTCATGTGTATTTCCATACATACTTGACGCAGTTTTTTACCCTGTCTGTTTATTTCCAGTACAAAAGCGGAACGCTTCGCGTGTTGTAGTTTCTGGTGTACTCTTATGGGTACATGGTCTTCAGCTTTCTTCCTTGTTCTTGATTGGGACCGTCCGTGGCAAGCCTGGCCCATACCCTGTGTTGCTGGCTCTCTTTTTGGCTTCATTGTTGGATTTGGCATATACCTCTTGTTTCCTTTCAAAGGTCCTCCTTGTATCAGCCTTCTTCATCAGGCCTTAGATTCCGCTGACCAGGTTAAGATCCGTTTCGAGTAGACCATCACTTCCTTTCTTTTGCTTTCAATATAAGCGTTTGAATGAAAGTTGTTTTGCTTTTGCTGCTCGCTTTGGCTTGATGTAGACTGCTGCGTAATTTGAACTAGTGGCGCCCCTGATGATGGTGACATTAAGGCACTTTTTTTCTTTTATTAGTCCCGAGACGACTTGTTAGATCGTTGTCTGGTCTTTTTGTCCACCTATTCTTGGGTGTACTCCTTCAAGTGGACCGAGCTGTTCTCGCGTCCAGATCTCGATCTCGTCAGCACCTGTCCTAAGGAATGGGTCGATGTTTTATCGAAGTGTAACATCACAGATCTCCAGGTAGCTTCTTTTTATCTGGTGTATTTTCAATAGAGTAAATTCTGTCGGTTTGCCCAAATTGTTGCAACCGCTGCTGGATAAATTATCGAAAATCCTACGTATGTGGTAGCGCGGTTCCGATTTAACAAATCCCTTTACGCACTGTATCAAGTTACTTTATAGCTGAACTTGGGACCTAGTTTTACATTTACCTTGGCATGGAAACTTCGCATCTAGTGCAGACACCGAAAGTTTTTAAGGCTTCTTTATGGACCTAAATACACAAGATTAATTGAACTGGTATTGATGCAGTTCCGATGCCACTACATTTGGCGGTCATGAGGGTGGAAATAGTGCTCCTCTTTTACTTTTAAAAATTCCATGCAGTGACTGAAATGAGGCTTTACGTGCTTGTCTTCTGAATGTTTTATTTGTGGGCAGCTGTCGTGATATCTGCGTATTTGTGGTGCCCAAACTGATAAAACCTGTCTGAAAAATGCCAGTTGTATCATGATTTTGATGAGTTAAACAAATAGAACCATATCTTTTCTAAAAAGTCGATGAATTGAATAATTTGGTGGTGCTGGTGCAGTGAAAAGGAGCTCTTGTGATGGTGAACTAATTCAGACTTAACATTGCACATTTTCGATGAAAAATGGGATACTCTTCTAAGTTACGAAAGCCAGTATCTGTGGATGCTCACTCAGTCTTGGGTTCACCGTTTTTTGGACTATGACAACTGGAAAGGCTTGCTTTTCTCAAATTGCCATTACATTCGATGTGCCATGGACATTGAAACCCACCCTGAAACGAAATTACCGTCTTCTTGATTCTCGTCGTTTAAACCAAAGACGGCTTCAACTCTCGCTTGAAGCGTTTACGTATTAACAAGTACTTTTACCAACATTTCCCCAACTAGCGAAGCACAACAGGCCTCATCCTGAAAGGTGAAGCCTTGGAACCTACAACGCTGTGAAATATTTACATCTCTTTTCTAAAGATCGCCATTTTTGGCGACTATGCTGATGAAGATGATGCCTCTTCATAATCGCTCTTTCTTTGGAAGCTTTTGTAGTGGGATTGAGAAGAGAGCTGTTACCGGATAGAGCACAGATTTATTGCTATTTATTCATTTATTGGAATCCTCCTCCGTAGGTTGTCGTACCCTTTATACCAGCGCTATTTTCACAACGCCAAGATTTGTATAAAAGATTAGCGTTATTTTCTCTTTTCATTGATTGAATTAAGGGCATATAACTTCTCTAGCAAATCACTCGCCGCTAGATTACTGTACACACCAGCATTGTTGCTTTGGTTTTACCACTTATACTGAAGTGACAGATCTGTTTGTTGTAGCCGCTTTCCCATTGTATTTTCGTTAAAACATCAATTTAAAAGGGAAAGAATTTCGTGTTTAAGGTGTCGCTTTTTTCTCCGTGACCGAAGTAGTGAAAAATGTGCCTAATAGGTGAACCATGGTGACGATTAGGGTAGCTAATATCATACTGGGTGAATTTATCCTAGACTGTAATTTCAAACGCGAGTTTTGATCAAAACCGATTATTTAAAAAGCGAGGCTCATAGAATCTAGGTGGATGAAAAGCACTATCGGAACATCTTACTCGCCTTTTATTTGACTAACGCCATATAAAGGCGAGCATGATAAGCTTCAACTTTTAGGCTGCCAAACGGAGAAAAATTGTATGAAAAACTCGCTTGCTCTTTATGTAGCCCATAATCCGGCTTTTATACGGATTTTTTGTAGCTGAACTCACCTTTTCCCTGTAATTGTCAAGCATCTGCGAAGCTACATCATTCCTTCTAATTTACGCACTTTCGAATTCCTTATCACCAGGAGTTTGCTGTCGGTGGCAGTGCCCCCGCTGCCTGGCCTGAGTCTCTCAAATCCTTCGCGGAGCAGTGTGCAACCTTGACACAGGAGCTCATCCAATCGGCCACCTTCACACCCCCCACAACGTCTGTAACACCTCAAACTCCTTCTCAAGGGATCTTATGCCTCAATGCACCTGCTGGTCATATCTTCTACCAGTGTCACTTCATGAGAACGGCGTCACGCAAGGTGAAACCCAAGAAGCACCACGAGGTTGAGATTATGTCGGCGTTTCTCTGTGATCTTCTGCAGAACTCACTGCTGCTCTCAAGTACCCCACTTGATTGGGTTTCCAAGACTGGCTCAAATAGAGAGGTCACCTTTCAGACCGCTCCCTTTGAAGGTGGGATCATTGTGTGAGAGAGTAGGGAATGTCATCTGCATTCTTTAAGCAGCAGCAAGCGAATAGTTATGGAAGTATTCTTGAAATGTATCCACATTCTTTGGAATATAGCCTTACTACTTAGGCACTCATCTAGTGTGCATCTATTACTAAACGTAAGGTCGTCGCTTCATTTAAGCTTTTTTGGAGCCTCTACAAATAATACTCTGCTGTTTTTGCGAATTGGTTTTAGGGGTCTCTTGCTTATTCGCGGTCGTAATTAGACGCTCTGAATGCTAAACATTGAAACTTGTCAGTCCTTTCGTAGACGACTCTGTAAGACTTAACTTGATTCTCTTGCTGAGCACGGATACGAACTGAGATTCGCTTGTGCTTTCACGCATCTTTTGTTTATGCCAAAAAGATTTGATGTCCAAAGTAATGGAATATCCCCACCATCTGGGGCTGTAGCACTTTAAGAAGTGTCATGTGACTAGCCAGTAAAATTTATCGTTTCACTGAACACATAAATGGATGAAAATGGATTTTCATTTCCCCAACAACCACATTGTTAAACAGGATGAACAAGGTACAAAGTAGACAACTGCAGGTCGTGCATTGCCTACCACTTCTAGGACCACAGGACTCCCGGGACTACCTTTCAGTTAATCTACCAACATCCGCTTCTATGCTAGTCGATTTGGGCTCTGGTTTGGGGCATCTGCCACGACGAGTGCTGCAACGCCTTGACCTCATGTCGTTAAGGCCGCTTGTCGTTGCCGTGGAATCCAATGCAATGTTACACGACACTGCACTACAGATGGAGGCGAAGGAGCCACATCCTGGAAGGCGCCTCATTCGGCTATTTGCTCATGTGGAGAAAGACGAAGTTTGCCTATTTAAAGAGAAGTGAGTATCTGGCGAATTTTGTTTTGACGGTGTCCCAATTAGTTCATTGTCCCACCATCCGAATTGGAATTGGTTCGCTAACATTGTGTTTCAGATATTCTTATAACCGTTGTGAGGTTATGAGTTTGGGAGAACCTTTAATATATATGTGTATAACATGAAGATAGCTTTGTGATGCCAGCATAGTAGTTTAATCACAGGATGTTGAAAGACCCGCATAATCTGATATCCAGTTAAGTCATATTCTACACGAATACAATGTTATAATCTAGAGAGACTTTTCTGAGGGTGGAAGAAGACACAATATAACCACAGAGTGCGTTTTCGACATGCAGGAGCAACTGAGGCTACTGGCATGATTCGGAGGCCAGGACGTCCGAGGAAGGTACAATGGCGGAGCCCCTGATTGGTCTGTTACTAAAACCGAGGGTTAACCAAACAATTAAAACATTGCATAGGCCCTCTCCTCTTTTAAGCGTCGTCCTCGGCGCTTTCCTTGGTCATTCCCCCGCCTCAGCCACCACAGAATAATCGGGGCTGCCAGAAAAACACTCATGAGCCATCTGTGCCAGTCATCGAATTCCTATGGCTTGACCACAGCGCTACTGACCCCTCTTGACAATTCTACTGGATCTGGAGTTTCATTCTGTATGAAAACTATATCGGTAGGACGAGGGAATGTGCCAGCCATCACATCTGTCCATTGCTAGTCGTAGAAGTACTGGCCTAAAAGCGGAGCCATATAACAAAGGCTAGGGTTTAACATAGTTTCGTGGAAGCAGTTTCGCGTCTGCTCCTCTTTGAACCCTTTCTCGCTTTAGTGCTGCCCAGCTATATTCATCTGGTTTCTACCCATCCAGTGGAAAAGTGGAGATATACTGTGTTCACATAATTAATATTTTCGTGCAGATACGGTAGACAGCTGCGTAACCAACTTGTCTAGTTGGTTTACGACCACGCCTAGTGTTGCTGCAAGCACGGCACCGAGGTAGTTGTGGAAGGTGAACAACATTTGGGGACTTCCTGCTAGGGGTCACCACGTATTCTTCAACCCGCAGCACATGAACTTCTTCCATCACACTGTTTGCCATCCGGCAGTTGAAAGCAGGGTAGATGTCCTTTAAGATCGGGTTTGTTTTCCGTTGCCACCAATGTAGCGCCCCAAGACTTCCCTGAAGGTAAAAGAAGCCAGTAACCAGGCGTAGCATATTTCATTGCCATAACCGAGAGTTAAACAAGGAATTAATGTATTGCAATATTTTTCGTAATTAGGAGCTTTGAATCAGATTTTCTACTCGTGTGGGTCTGAAAGCATTGATACCTGAAACTGTAGCTGAATTTTTCACTTTGGATCCACATACATCAAAGTGTAGATATTAGTTTCCTATTAATTGTCGGTTGATCTTGTTGGCAGAATCAGGAAAGAGCTCCTCACTTTTACCGATGAAAGCAGAACACCCTTATTTGTCCACTAGTGAAAAGGACAAACAGACATTTTTTCCTATTAGCTCCCAACTAACGGCAAACCTGAAGGAGACTATAACCTCTCAGTCATTGCCCAGTGCAATATGAATGAAATTCATTGTCTTGAATTTAAGCTTGGTCCACTCAGTGAATTGGCTTTATTTACTAAAATAAACCCCTATATTCCTCATTTTAGCTTAATTGTTTGCCTCTCATTCTTTTGCGTTTGTAGACTCTTTGCGGCATTGAAGGAGCAAGAGGAGGAGGAGGGGGAGAGGAAAGGAGAGATAAGCTATCTGCTCTGCGGTCTTCACTGCTGCGGTGACCTGAGCGAAGCGGCGCTAAAGATCTTCCACGTCGATCCGTGTGCTCATGCTATCGTTCTCGTGGGTTGTTGCTACCACAAAATGACCACTCAGACGGATGATGTTCAGGAGGCCATAGAGGAAGAGCAAGTTTTCACAGTAAGAATCGGTGTTCTTATCGCTCAGTTGGATAGTCACTTAAAATTAGACTTAGTTAAAGTCACTGATTGCCCAAATCTACAATACTTGGCGCAGGTCTCAATCAAATAGCGTTTTTGCAACCCCTCGTCTCCCCAGTTCCCTCTCAGTCCCCAGCTACGTGCCGCATTCCAGCGATGTTCAGATGCAGGATCAGTGATAGCAGAGAAGTTAAAAGCGACAGTAGCCCTTCGTCTAGCTTGTCAGTGGTCGCCGCAGCAGTGGTCACAATGGAGCCCAAGGGAGGTCTATGACCACCGCGTTCGCGTCTTCGTCCGTTCCCTTCTTGGGGTACACCTGAACCCCGCTTCTGCCCCTGCCACCAACATCGCCATTCTCAAACGAGTTGCCCGCTATCCAGCCATCTGCTCTCTGCCGTCCAACACTTGTCTCACTTCAGTGCGTCAACCACTGCCCAAACTTACCAGTCACTGGCATGCTCTTCAGTCCGTTGCTGCCTCCGCCACTGGTGAAGCTGTTGGTGCTGCTGCTATCAACGCTACGGAGCTCACCCAACTGGCTACTGCTAAAGAGGAGGTATGGCATCTCCTACCTGGTCTCACGGCACTGCAACAACTTGTCCAGCCCCTAATAGAGGCTTTCATTTTGGCTGATCGTTTGTGGAGCTTGAAGACGGCTCCAAATGTACGATTTGCTACGCTTGTGCGTCTCTTTGACCCCAAACTATCGCCTCGATGCATGGCTCTTGTGGCTGTAAAGAACACTTTGGACACTATTTTACCCTCATAACGATTGTCTTGGAATACAAGCACTCTTATTTAGCATAAATCAGAAGGATAATCAAAATGAGCCAAGTGACTAGCTAATTTCTTTCTGTGATGACTTAATGAATCGTTTTGTTAGAAGATCCGGGTCCCTGTGGCGCTGGAGTTATCTCAGAAGACCTTAAAAGGCATACGAATCCCGAGTCATTGGTGTACTGAGGGGTTGGGCGAACAGTAACGAGCAGGGGCACTTGCTACCCCCTGTCTTCCTCAGGAGGTCCTTCACCCATCTTCCATTATGTCAATACTGAGATCGAGGCAGCTCCCCAAATTTATGCGGCGTAGGTAGATCCCCAGGGCACATTCATGAAATTCGAGTCGCCGGAGGTTCAAACCTGCGTTCTCGAGCACAAATGCCCAGGGCATACCTCAGTCCCCTTAGCATCTCCAGCGCTTCTCATTGTCAACAAATTGGTCATCATACTTAGGCGCATCAGCCTCATTCACAAGATGGAGATGAACACTCATAATTGTTAAGAGGCTTTTATTTGTAAAGATAGTTCTAACTGAAAGCTGTATTTTATGAATTCTCTTACTATGTTTTGGTGAAGGTTGGGTCGTATTTTTTTAGCAAGTGCATTTGATTTCCCAATCGCTTTCGTGAGAACAACTGCATGACAGTACTATGAAGTCGCCTCCCGTATTCAACCCTCCTTTTTATTCCGTGGCCGGACATAACTGTTCTGAACCCAATGAATTATCGAGGCTTCAGTAGCATAGACAACATGGGCATAGCCGTGCATCACCAAGGTAAATATGAAATCAGAGCAAATATCGCTCTGATGTAAGTGATTAAAAAGTTTAAAACGGCAAGTCGTATTCAAGACATGAAACTGCATAATTAAGAGCTGTATATTAAATGGTATAGATAAAAAAATGTTGCTTCATCCTATTATTAAGTACAGAGGTCAAAAGAAGCGCTGGAGCAGCTACAGATCCTTACGTTCCGTCTTTCTTTCCTCCCTGAAAACGAGGAATAAGTTGTCATTGCTCAAATGAGGCTTTGAAATCGGAGAAATAAAAGGGCCGCCTTACTCCTCCTCCTCCTCCTCTTCACTGTCCCCTTCCATCTCGAAGGTCTCCAAAAAGTTGTCCTTAATGTCGACGAACTGGACACTGGGAGCGTGTACTAACTGCTTAAGATTGTCGTGAATAGTCGATTTCAGAGCGTCGACGTACTGGAAGGAGACAACAAAGAACGGGCGAAATATAAGAAGCCAGACTTAGCATAAACTTCTCCTCAGCAAATAATGTGTAAATTAATGCTAGAGGGGAAAAGGATGCCTTGCAAAGGATATCAGCTCAAGTTAAATAGCGGTCAAAGAGGATCATAATTGATCATATTAAGCGTAGAAGGATGGGACTGAAAGTTAGGTATTTATGCCAAATCTCTGATTATCGATCGGGATTTGCGCCATTGCCTAGGAGACCAGCAAATAATCCTAATTTAATACGATTTTCTACTTTCTTCAAACTTTTGGCTAATTTCATCTGATGTTTTGCGATGCTGGTTTCATGGATCGGTAACAGAGGAAAAGGCTCCTGGGTGGTGCCAAGCAAACCTTTGTACCTCATTTCAAATGTGTCAAACTACCAAAATTACGAATCACTGCTGGGGAGATGAATGGTAACTGATGTGCCTAAGGTATGACTTCTAGTTCACAATAAAAGTGTAAAATTTTCAAAATTCAGGTTCTTAAAGAAATTAATGAAAATATCCACTAGGTACCGTAGTTAACAAACAACACAACCATTCCAGTTTCGGTTTAAGTAGTTAAACGCTATCTGCATAACTTTACACATTTTCCCAACGGTCATTACGATTCCTAAAGTAATTTACCATCAGTTGAAAGAAAAAACTCCAATTCTTGGGTACACACCGACTTGGTGTTAGCATTCTCCATCTTCGTATTCAAATCTGGATGCAGAGTATAGTCCGGAGCAAAGTACTCGATGTACTCTGAGTAGGGCAGCTCATTGGAGATGTCCTCTTCGCGATCCAGGAGCACTGCAGTCTCGTAGGCCCAACAACGAGCCACATTGCGCACCGTGTAGCCTCCACCGCCCACCACGAGGGTTGGTATGCCCAGGGCGCGCACACACCGCACACAACGCCCATGACCACGGATGGAGAGATTGAAGACGCCAAGGCGGTCGCAACCCAGCGAGTCGGCACCGCATTGCAGCACTATCGCGGTGGGGCGGTAGAACTGCACCACTTCCGTAATGACTGACTTGAAGATGCCGAAGTACATCTCGTCGTCGATGCCCTCCTTGAGGGGTACATTCACCGAGTAGTATTTGCCGGACTCGGCACCCACCTCGTACATGTCGCCTAACAGAGTGGCAGAAAGGCATTTAACACAAACCCAGAAATGTCTAATCAATTTTCTTTGTTGATGGAATGGCAATCTTGCCTGAATTATTTCACGCGTGGCATTATTTTTTTTGCGATGAACAAAATAGGAATTGCTAAACGCACCTGTACCCGGGAAGAAGAAATTTCCAAATCGATGAAATGAAACTGTCATGACTCGATCCGTCAAGTAAAATGCTTCCTGGACTCCGTCACCATGATGAACGTCAATGTCAATATAAAGAACACGAGGGTGGTACCTACCGGTGCAAAAACATGCCTAAAATAAGGTCAAATTAGCTTACTTTAAAAGTTGGAGAATTGCGATGACAATATCATTGACATAGCAGAAACCGGATGCTTCAAACTTTTTAGCGTGATGGAGGCCACCGGCCCAATTAATGGCGATGTCTGTAAACTAATAAGGAATTTAGGCAAGTTCAAAGCTTACTCCATCGTTTAGATATCTTGCACCCATTAGGGATGCCCCAGTGTAGAGAGAGCAGAAATTATATATCCCCTCGAATATAGGACTACAATAAATGAAAGTGAATGCGACAAACCAATCCTCCCCCACATTATAACCCAGCAATTTCTCTTTCGGAAACTCATTTACGTTCGACGGTTTTACATCCCGAAGAAATTCCAGATATTCTAACGTATGAAACGCCATCATGTCTTTCATACTAGCTTTCGGGGCTTTATAAATCTAGGGGAAGACTATTAATTGGCAGGCCAAGTTTACCTGCATATGTTGTGTGAGACCGTAACCAAGTACAAGCGTGTGCGCAAGTGTAATTCGATGAGGTTTCATCGGATGATTGGGTCCATAGTGAAAGTTGCCAGCATCAGGATTATAAAAGTAAACCACTCGTTTCTTCCCCATTCCCATAATTGCACACTGACTGCAAAGAAGGCGCGGACAAACTAAAGACCAAAACAGTGCGGAGGCAAACCAAGTATATTCGATGAATAAGGTAAATTGTAAATAATTTTAAAAGGATACAAAGACTATGACTTTAAGCAACACAATTATTTAAAAAAACGCAAAGGTGGAACACACTTAGGACACTTGTACAGGCCTTCGTATGTGGCTTAGAATTCTTTTAACTTTGTACCTTGTCAAATTAATAAAACAAATCAGCCAGATTTTTGGTACTATCTAGATTTAACTACACCAGGGACAATTTAAAACATTTCACTCGTTTTGCCGCTCTAAATCGCTTAAAACGACTTCCTTTAAGTGATTGCACAGGCTAAGTACATTTAAAATGTGCACTCCTAGCCATTTATCTGTATGCACAAAATGGTCGTTTTTTATCAACAAATGTTGTCCATACTCATAGGCGTTGGAATTGTGTGCTGAGTGTGTGGCTGGTGCATTTACCACTTACAAATTCACGATTTAATTTCTTACAACTTAAAATTACCTTGTTGAGAATTTTGCCTTATTACTGAATTCGTAGAACATAATGCAGCTGCTGCTCCCTTTTACCAGACCACAAATAGCCTCTATTCTTATAGGGTTAAATATTGCTAATCAGTCTTTTTGGTCGCTGGGAATGTTAAATGCGTCGAAAGGCTTATTCTTGAATACGCTGCCCTTGAAGGCTTTTAGATCGTTTAGCACCGCCTTATTTTGGGTAGGCCTTTTAACTTCCGTGTTTTTACTAAAGTAGCACCGGGACACCGCCATCAATAACAGGGATGTACTATTCGAGTTCACGCCAGAAAATTTGAAGCGCTTGGAGGAGTTGAAAACGCACTATCCTGTCGGCTATCATGCTTCTCTTATAATGCCCGCTCTGGACATTGCACAACGGCAGAATGGCTGGCTCCCGATTTCCGCAATGTCTAAAATTGCGGAGTACTTAGGTGTACCTGAAATGCGTGTTTTTGAAGTGGCCACCTTTTATACTATGTTTAACAGGTAGTCTATGACTTTATCCGTCCTCTATTTTATTAGGAATCCCGTCGGAAAATACCACGTTCAGCTCTGTACTACTACTCCGTGCATGTTGGGTGGTGTCGGTTCTGATGTGATTTTGGAAACCATCGAGAAAACTTTAGGCATTAAGACTGGTGAGACTACTCCTGACAAACTCTTCACCCTAAGTCAGGTTGAGTGTCTTGGGGCCTGTGTTAACGCGCCAATGATGCAAATCAATGATGATTACTATGTACGTCGTAACCTGCTGTTCTCTTTGATATTCCATGCCAAAAGTGTTATGTCGTAATTTACCGTTACTTTTATAGGAGGACTTGACTCCTGATGATGTTGTTAGGATTCTCAGCGATCTCAAAGCTGGCAAGAAACCAAAACACGGTCCTCAGTGAGTTATTCGCTACTTGATTGAGGTTGATGTAGTTTGGAGTTTCGTAAATGGCTCTCATTTCTCACTTCATTTAGGTCGGGTCAGGGTCATCGCTGCGCTTGCGAACCGAAGGGTGGTTTTACTTCTCTCAACACGCCTCCTGTCCCTCCGGATTTCAAATTACAAGACGCATTGAAGTAGACTGTGGACATTTAACGTTTCTGTAGTTAGTATGTATGCACCCAAAATGTGGTATTTCATATTTGTTTATGTTCTATCACTTTTTACGCCCCACCATCTGGAGACTTGGCTAGCTGGTAGGGAGAATTTTAAAATTTGTTAAGATTTGTTTTTGATTAGTTATTTGCGTTGAAGAAGACAATATCGTCGAAAAATTATGTTATAGAACACGGTTTTACACTTGGTGATGACTGAAGAACGAGTTTTCCATGGGTTTGGGTTTCTCATTGCATTCAGTGGTTGTCTCAGTTTTTTTGTAGACGAGAGATATCTTTTCACTAGGCACTTCAGTATATTTGCATGCTTTGGAGGCTCTATTTTGATATTGCCAAGTATTAGAACTACTGCGCCTCTCGAGTTACCTCCAAACACACTGAAGTGCATGCGAGTCTTGACGTAGTTTTGCTATATGCGTACTAAAAGGCTGGTAGCATACACCCCCTTGGGGATCACTGCGTCACGTGGCTCCAATCTTGTTCCAAGCGTTTGCCTCTAACCCCCACCCATTATCCTTTGGTCTTTGCTTGCAAGGTTTCTGGAGTTATGTGGAGGCAGGCGTGGGGTTCTGTGCTATCTCGAAAAGACATCTGGGTTTGAGGGCAATTGTGCGTCTTTCAGATTCGGAGAGATGCTTCTGTCACGGTTTTTTTGTGAACTGCATTGAAACAACTTATCTCTTACCATCAATTATTCCTTTACGGTGGACGCTCTCCGTTGAAGATTTTTTCCCAAAATGACTCATTTGATTAGACAAATAATGTGGATTGGCGGCCTTTTCTCTGTTGTCACTAGTACCATCCGATTTGCTGGTTTTATGACTTGGAGTGTCCATGACCCAGATCCAGGATCTTACCGAGGCCTCTGACTAGAAAGGTGAGCTAGATATCAGAGTGGATGTCTTTATTCACCAACGTAGTGAGTACCCAAGGCAGATGAGGTCAGCATGTACGTGTCTGGTGTTTATGGTACAGGGACTGGTATATAATAAGCTTGCCTCCGAGTTGCGTCTTGGTGATTTCAGCCAGGCGTCCCTATAGTAACCGACTTGGGCAGTTTTCAGTAGAATTAGTGAACTTTCGCTGGGCATTATCCACTGAGGCAAGACTGAGTAAGACGATAACTTAAAATTAGTAGTGTATTTTATGTCATTTATTATTATCATGGTCTCCACATGATGTCAACTTTCGCTTCTTTGGCAGTTTTGCAAACAAGTCTTCTAGATTTTGCGTAGTTCTTACCATCGTAACGCATTTCAATGCCTTTGACATTTTTTGACAGCGTTACTTCACCATATGCGGCCTTTAGAAACAGATCTATGGCCTAATGTTTGTTATGGACTATACGAAAGACCAAGACAATAAGGTGGACTTTTACAGCAGTGGAGGTTTATTTAAGGAAGTGTGGACTCCAAGGTAGGGGCCATCCAGTAAAGTGGTGATGCAGCCTCCACAACAATTTCCCGAAGCTCATACATTCTTGCTAACTTTGTTCTCCGAGACTTTCCTGAAGACAAAAGAAGACATAATACTGAGGTAGAATATATCTATTCAACATACGATGGGGGTTAATGTTACTGGCATGGTTCAGAGGCCAGTCCACCCGCCGAAGGTATGGTGACCAAGATACAAGGTAGCCCTTTACCAAAACCGGGCGTTAAACAACCAAAGTAATGCGGATATCATGACAACTTCCAGACTCATGTAACTTTTACGCCGATAGCGATAACTAAATCATGTCCTACAAAAAACTTGGGGAGATTGTGTAACAATGAGCCAAATAGATAGGATTAAATAATAGTTTCATCCGATGCAATGCTGCAGAATAATGCTCCAAGCTGAATACAAGGAATATCGACTGGAATACCAACTTTTGTTAGAGAGAAGGAAAACAGATTTATAGATTTATCATAAAATTTTTTTTTATTAAGGTCGACTTTTTCTTGAACTTTAAAAAAGCATGTGCAAGCGAAATCAGTTGCGAGAAATAGAGGGAACTAGCAATATCGTTGAATAAAGTGAAAAATCTAGGAATGAATCGCAGTTGAAAGATAAAGTTCATGCGGTATAGGGAACATACAGGTATCTTTGTAAAAATATTCGTTACTATTTTTTTATGAATCAAAAAGCTTTTAACACATGCATGTGGCAGTCGAAGGTAAAAGCATCTCCCCTGAAAGAGTACGAGTTTCGCTAATTCCAGTTGATGCTTACGAGAAGATTAGCGAGAGGAAGAAATCCTTTAATAGAGAGCATGGAGGCTACACGATGCGCAGTAGTTTTTTTGCGAACTAGTGATCGTCGCCACCTTGTAAACTGGTAGCGTTAGCTCAGCCATATATTGTGGTTATAGGCCGCTAACTAACGACTTTTTCTCCAAACCTCTTTTATTTCGAAACAAATAGGTCTAAGTTTCAGTTGCAAACCTACATATGCTAAAGATATGCGAGTCTTAGTTTTTAGAGAGCCGGTGCTGTGAAGTCTTGGAGACCTCACGAATCTTTTTAAAGTGGAGGTGTTCTTGCAAAGAATGATTAAATGTGAATGATACAACTAAATAGTCGATTTGGTGGTAACAGGCAGTGATCAGGCAACAATTATTTGCTAAAATAATCGCCAATTCGAATCCTAATCTTCATTTAAAGATAAGTCATATTTTGAGTAACTACAGGCGATCCTTCATCACATCATGAAATTTTCAATTACGGAACTATTCTGACCCATAGGGTGTGAAAAAATATTTCGGTTTACTGACTACTGGCATACCTCTGGGGCCAACCCGCGCGGTGAAGGTACAATGATCAAGAAACAAGTGGCCCTTGGCCAAAACCGAGAGTTAAACCGACAGGTAAAGTGTTACAGCAGGCACTCGCTGACCAGAGGTTGGAGGAGCACAAAAACAATGGGACAGTAAAATGGGGACGACTTGCCAGTCTTTGTCAGGTAATTCGACTGGAGAGACAATTCTTGATCACAGAAAACGTGGCTGCATTTGTGTGAGGCTGACGAACACGCAGATTTCTTGTCTTAGTGCTTTAAAATGGAAATGGTCCAATCCTTACTTAACGTGTATTCGAACCAAGTAAATACCTTTAATAATGAAAGAGAAATTGGTTTCTTAAACTACGGGCAGAATAGTAAAATGGCTTACCAAGTGCGTGTATAACGAGCAAGACGTTATACTTGATCGTCTGCTGTACACTTCTGCTCCCTTCAACGTCTTGAGTCTCCTTGAGGATAGGAGGTAGGAGGACTGGAAGGTATGCGATTCTCGCCTTGACAGTCCTGTAAAGTTGCGGTATTAAAGAAGTGAGAGTCTCCTTCTCATAAATTCGTACGAGGCTTGGCCTAGCAATGCAGGCCAGACTGCCGATAGTTCATTCCATCTGATGAAGGCGAGAAAGTTGGCTCTTCCACTGAAATTATGATTGGATCGGTCTACATTCAGATGGAAATGCAATACAATCGAGTAGCTTAGAATAACAAGAATGCATTGACCACCTCTAACCTTTGCATTTTTTCACCTCCGTATCTCTCGCCTGCCCATACATACGCTCATGCAGTAAATCGCCTCAAAGGCAGCAGAATCGCTTCTTCAGGTTCATGTCTTCGTTTGAAACTATAGCCATGATTCCCACCCAATAGCTTCCGCATCTAGCTTATCGGAATTACGTGAGGGACTGGTAATAATTAATCAGCATTCAACGCTGTCATTACCTACATGAGAAATAACGGAAAACCTAGCACCTATAAGGAGTGGAATTACCTGTGTGTTTCACATCACTTGCGGCACTGAATAATTCGCCTAAGCTGTGCCACCCATCCACTCTGTTGCCACCTCTTTGCGGTGCCGTGGTAATCACCTCAGCCAACTTCCTTCGCCTTTGAATCCATTCATAACAAAATGGTGTGAGAAAACCAGTGAAGATCACCCTCGAGGAGTTGATAAACGTTAGCGACATGGTTAATGTAGTTGTAGAAAAATACGACGTATCCACGTATTCAGCGCCGATAGGATGGCTATAAACCATGTAC